GCAGGTGCAGGAGGAGGAGGGTCTGCTTCCAGAACACGCACAGCCCTGGGAGCCAGCGTGAGCCCTGCGGGGGGTGAGAAAACAGGTTTACTGGAAGAATCGGCCGCAGCAAGGACTGATGCATGTGCTTATCTGCTCAGCCCCAGTGTGGCTGCTGTCGAGCTGATGTGCTCACGGGGCAGGAGCCTTTTCCTGCCAGATTAGGGTCTGCTCGCTGTTCAGTGCCTGTGATGTGTCTAAACACATACACTGCCCCTGCTGGGATCGGCGCGGAGCATTTGGACACGTGGCCTGATTTCTGAGGCTCTTCAAATGTTATTTGTTGCAGAAACCCCTGGTGGAGCAAAGCCTTTGCAGAGATGCCTGGAAATCGGCTCTGTAGGGCAACAGACGGAACCTGCTCTGGAGCCCCTGAGGAGTGTGGACGTGGCCCCCAGGGGCCACGGTCTCCCATAAAGCCTGGGTGACACGTGAAATACCGCTAAAGCCCCTCATGGATGAAGACTATCTGATGGCGATGATGAGGGGGTGGGGGAAACCCAAGGGTAATTTTACCTGTAGCCTCAATGGGGGGCCTCCTACTGAGGAATCGGCTGCCCCAAAGCCCTGCCACAGCTGCCCACCACCCTTAGAATATTCCTGACCATTTCCCCACTTTATTAGCATCTTTTCTGTTGAGAGTAATCACCTATATTCATTTTAGTGTATTTAGGTGAAATAGAATAGAGATGCAAATAAAAAGTACACATTATCTAACTTTACAATCAATTAATGCCTTGATATGTGTTTCATAGTGTTATGTGTGTGTATGTATAGAGGCACGTGCATATGTGTGTTTATAAATATGTGGGTACATATGTGTATAGAGTAGTCCCCCTTCCAGACCCATGGGGGACTAGCTCCAAGACCCCAGTAGATGCTGAAACTGTGGACGGTATTGAACCCTGTATACACCACGGGTTTTCACACACACACACACACACACACACACACAACTCTTCACTTGCAGAAGCACTTGCTGGCTTCTCTTTGGCCACACCGTCTTCCTGCAGACACGTGCCCGCGTATGGCACTGTGCCGCACTGCTGATCCCGCCGGCACCATCAGACCTGCTTGCACGCACCCTGAATACTGTTCTTTTCTCTCCCTCTGAAGGGCCCCCCAGGCCTTGGACTAGGCATTCTACTCAGAGTGCACACCATCCGCTCGCATGAAAAAAACGCTTGAAAAATTGCCGAGTTGGGTTCTAGAGGCCAGTGCATCACCTAAGAAAGAAGCAGGTCAGGCAGGAGGCCGCAGACCTCCCGCCCTGCCCACGTGCTCGCTTGGCCTCGAGGAGATGTCATCTCAGAACAAGATGGGCTTGTCTTGGGCTGGGCCTTTACCAACCTTGTCCCTAGAGCAGTAGTGTCACACTCATTTTCACGCGGGCCCACATCAGCCTCGCGGTTGCCTTCAAAGGGCCGGATGTCATTTTAGGACTGTGTAAAGTAACTACTCCTTAACAGGTAAGCAAGAGCTTGGCACTGCCGCTGGATAAAACAAGATGTGGGGCCAGATTCAGCTTGCAGGCCTTGTGTTTGCCACCTGTGACCTAAAGGATTAGAATTGTTCTGGGCTCGGGATGGAGGACTCGCACTGTAATCCATGAAAGCCGGCACCGGCAGATAGTAGTAAGAACATAGTAAGTTTCCAGGCCCTGACCGGTGTGGCTCACTGGGTTGAGCTTAGTCCCACAAAGCAAAAGGTCGCCAGTTTGATTCCGGGTCAGTGCGCATGCCTGGGTTGTGGGGCGGGTCTCCGGTTGGGGCATGAGAGACAACCAGTTGATGTTGATTGCCCTCTCTTTTCCCTCTCTTACCCTCTCCCTAAAAATACAAAAATAAAATCTTTCTTAAAAAATAAGGAACATACTGAGTTTTCAGGAGGGTGTAAAGCTGGGGTACAGGCTGGTCTTCCTTTTTAACTTATTATTTATGATCTGAACCCACTGAAGGGGGAGCGGGCTACAGAGTCCCGCTCCACAGAAACGGAGGCAAGCATTCTCTACAGCGCAGGCAATGGGAATTTTCCAAATGGTGAGCCCACCGACTGCTCTCCAACCATCGCCAGAAAGAAAAGCCACTGGCATACTATCCTGGAAACAAAGTCACTGTCTTCATTTCCCTGACTTAAAGCCCGTAGATAAAAAAGTTTCTGCTTTGCTGACTCGGTGAGTCCTCAGCTTATCTCGGAAGCGACAGCAGGAGATGGCATTGTTGAAAGGCGGCGCTGCTGGAGCTGTCCTGTGGCACCTCCCGGCACCGTGTGTCTACTCCAGTTCCTTTGCAAATTCACAGGCTGGTCGCCCCAGCCCTGTTAAATGGAACAGAGCTCTGGCGAGTCTGTAGGCTGCCCGTCTTGGTGCAGGAACAGACCCAAAGCAATGGTGCATAGGAAACCCACTGCTGCAGCCTTAGCCTATCTCCGTCCGGGCTGCAGCCATGTCTTGGGTAGCAGGAGCCACGACAAGCACCGCATATTTTGTAGAAAGATGCTAACTTGTTTCCAAGCACGCTCTTGGATGTAAGTCTGCACTTAACTAGCCCAGCAGGCATTTGCCAGAGAGCACAGCACATACGCTTCCTGAAATATAGATGAGGGAGATGGTATTTTGGGGAGGTTTCCTTGAAGAAACATTGAATCAGTTCACTCACCAGACACGCTTAAAGTATCCCAGGACGCAGATGGATCAGCAGAGAGCTAGGGACCTCTGTCAGACCGTACTGCCCACCCACGACCTCTCCAGCCACATCCCCAAATTGCTTTCACACCGAGCATCAGTATGCGCTGCAGGCCTGTGACACTGACTCGTGCGCCGTCGATAAGACTGCGGCAGAGAACGCCGGTCCTTACATCAGAGGCTGTTTCCTTATGAGGACTCCTGGGAACAATTCCTGTCTGGCCCGTGTGAGCAACAGTTAGAACTTTCCCAAGCAACTGGTGCATGTTTATCTCGTGGACACTGAACTGTGTCTCAGACAAGTTGCCTCGATTCCGTTGTGGCTGCACTGCTGTGGCGCACGCAGGCAGCGGACGTGGAGAAACACCGTTTGAGCCTTCTTTCCGGCTCCAGTGCGTTCTTTCCTTTTATCTCATGCTGCCTCGCTTTCCATTTCCGCTGTCTTGTCATGTTTTCTGTCCCACTGTAAGCCCCTGAAAACCACTCTGTGAAACAGGCTTTGGCGTACACCGGAAAGTGGCTGAAGAACATGTGGGAGAGCTCCACCCTGTGCGTTCCCACCCATTTCCTCCAAAACTGCGACTGCACCCTGCTTTCACTCCCTCCCACTGACAGACACAAGGCTCAAGGAGTGCAACTCCGAAGTGAGGCAGTGACAACCGTCAAATAATTGGGAAACCCACACGAAGGTGCCCAAGGATCGTCCCACCTCATTCTCGTGACTCAGCTCAGGCAATGCCATCAAAATGACAAAGCTTCTTGGGAGCCTGGTGCACTTTAGGGCTAAGTATAATGAGAAGGGTAAGTAGCACTACTTAATACTCGCGCGACACGCGTCAGTGTACTTTGCTCTCCTGTGGTCGGTATGCAGCCCGGGGCAGCAAGATGGGCAGACGTCACTGTTATTTTCATTCCACTGCCCTGCTAAGGAGCAAGGAAGAACTGCTGGCCCCTAGATGGGCTCTGTGCCCGGGGACTTCCCAGCTGCAGGAGAGGTACCCCAAGACAAGAAGAGATGCCACACTACGACTTCCTATCAAAGTGTGCTGGGCATGAGCCAGGGACCAGTATCCCAACTGTATCTGTCAGAAGAAACAATAGAGGTCTTTCAACATATGAAGCTGGAAGATGCTGGAGTCAGCTTCTTTCAAGTAACACTCCTGTTCCCTGGAATCAGAAGTGCTATCTCTCTAGAGCTATGCTCTCCGATTAGGCTTTCTGTGATATCAAAAATGCACTTGACCGACACAGTGGCTACAGTGCGCCTGAAACGTGGCTAGTGCAGCTGGGTACCCGAATTCTGAATTTTATTTGAATTAATTCAAATTTAGGTTGTCATAGTAAATTTAACAGGTTGCAGGATATGAGATCAATATATGAAAGTCAACTGGATTTCTATATACTAGATATAAAAAATCAGAAATTGACATTTTTAAATGTCTTCTACACTAGCATCAAAAATATGAGATGCTTAAGGATTAAGTCTGACAAAAGATGCGTAAGGCCCGTACACTGAAAATTATAAACCTTGCTGGGTGAAATTACTGAAGACCCTTTTTTTTCTTTTCTTTTAAATATTTATTGATTTACTTATTTTTAGAGAGAGAGGAAGGGAGAGAAACACTAATATGCGGTCGTCTCTCATGCGCCCCCTGCTGGGCACCTGGCCCACAACCCAGGCATGTGCCAGAAGTGGGAATCAAACCAGTGACTCTTTGGTTCGCAGGCCAGCAGTAAATCCACTGAGCTACAACAGCCAGGGCAAATTACTGAAGATCTTAAATTAGCGAAGATATATACCATGTTCATGGTCAAAAGACTTACTATTGCTAAAATGTCACTTTTCCCCACATGAGCTATAGATTCGCTGCAATCAATTCCCATCAAAATCCCACAGGTTTTTCTTGTAGAAATTGACAAAGTGATTCTAAAAGTCATATGGAAATGGAAATGTACCCAGAATCTAAAATATCAGTTTGCCTTAGCCCTGGGAATCAAGGCTTAAAGGACAAAGTTTGTTCAATGGTTATTCGGAAACGTCTACTTCTGGTACTTCACTGTCTGTGGCCTCAGTTTCTCCATCTGTAAACGGGTATATCAATGTTTACATAACAGAACTGGAGCTAACATTTAAGAGGATCATGGATATTAAATGTCACCCAAGGAGCAGAGGTGTGCAAAACATACCCCTTCCCCACCAAGCCCCTCATCACAGCACACGCATCCATCCCTTACTAAGGGATGAGCAAGCGTGAGGAGGGGCCTCCCCCATCCTTACCTGGAGCCAAAGCTTGTCGTGCTGAGACCACTTCCCGCCAGCAATGCACTGGAATGTGGCATTCTGCCCCACGTTCACCTCGACGTTTTGGAGCCGCAGAAAGTGAGGTGCTTTTCCTAAGAGAGAAACCAAAGACCACGTGAGAACAGAGTTCAACAGCCTAAACCCCCTTCTCTGGGGGCACACACAGCTCAGGGGAGACACCAGGCAGGGTGGGATTTGTCCTTGGGAAGTGGCCTGGCTCGGGGAAGAGCTACTGCTGATTGATCACTTACTGTGACCCATGCCTTACTATATGTCCTAAGAGCCCTGCATGCATCCTCTTGCCTAGAATCTCACAAAAACCCATGAGGTGGGCAGTATCTCCATTTCCCAGGACAGAAAATTACATAGTTTGGCATGGCCAGCCAGCCAGAAAGCGGGGGGAGCCGAGACATGAATCCAGGCCTCTGAGAACCTCAGATCCCTATTATTAGCAGCTGGGCAACCCTGCCATGTGCAGGAGAAGAAACTGGGGAAAGGGTTTGGCATAGAAAACTTCTTGTAGCTGGGGGTGAGCGGAAAGAAGAAAGCTGAAGTGACGTGCCTTTGGGCCTCAGGCCTCCACACCCAGCCTTGGTGAAGATGCTGATGAGGAAGATGATGAGGAGCGGAGGGAGGGGAGGAGTGAGGAAAGTCAGAAGAGATCACTAGTAGCTTTCGTTCACTTAGTGCGGACTGTGATTTCTGCCCTGTGTGCATGCTGTCTACACAGTAACTGACCTATAGCAGTGCAGTTGGTGGCGGTATCATCTCCATTTCATGGTAAGTGAACTAAGGCTCAGAGAATTCAGGAAACATTCAGAGTCTACGTTCTCCCTCTAACTACAGTGTCACTTAAAGATGGGAGGGAGGCAGGGCATTCACGCTGGGGTCCGGGCCTAACAGAAGAAATGACGTTCAGATGACACTCAGTGTCCATAAGCAATCAATTCTAGAAGTAAACGTCAGTTTTATGTTGGGTAACTTAGGTTCATCACTTTCCTTGTTTGGGGAGACAAGTCCACACCTAAGTGAGTTCTTCAAAGATGAGTAGGCGGATAACCTATGCCTAGAAGAATGAGTTTCTTCACTGAGGTACAAAAATGCCGAGGGTCCCTAGCACATCAACCAAAGTAAGGTGGATCTGGTCACCGACTGCCCGCAGAACGAGACCCAGTGGAGGGTTGTTAAGAGGATGGAGAAGGTTCAACAAGGGCCTCTGGGCATCTTTCCAGAGGGAGTCAAATATCCAGAGAGACAAATAATCATGGTAATGCTATTTATTGAAAGCTCCCACAATGCCAGGTACTGTGATAAATGCTTTAGATATTTTATGTAATGTAACTTCATAACATTCCTGTAAAGCAAACCCTATTATTACTTCCCTTTTAGAGAAGCAGAAACCAGGGCTCACCAAGGTCAATATGCCAAGGCTACACAGCATTAATGACAGGAACGGGATCCAGACCAGGCCCATTCTAGCCTCCAAATCAGCACTTAACCATGCACATTCCCTTGCTTCCTGGGCAATAGGAGGTCGATGGTACCACCTAGACTCCAGGATCCCAAGAAAGGGCTCACAGACAAGGCTGTGTCCAGGCTCCTGTCACTGCTCCCAAATATTTTATCACAAGTGATCCCTTTCCTTGCCCTTTTGTCCCCATGGGCTTCACCCTCAACCATCTGGTCTACCAAATGGTGTCACCGCCTGCAGAAGTCAGCAAAACCAACAACCTTGGTGGAGTGAGGCAGACTCGTGGTGCAAAAGCATATGCCTTCTGCTCAGGTTTTTAAACAGATAACAACAACTCAGAGACCTTCCCCCGCCCCCATGCTACCTTTGGGACCTCACAGCTAGAGTGGAGTCCAGAATTCAAGGCCCAAGGAAGATCTCTCCCTGGGGGCTTCTCAGAGTTGAAGGTTCCTTGCCTCTGGTCAACCTGACAAATGTCACGCTGCTTTGGTTGTCTGAAATTGTTTCCTTTTTGCTCTCCTATATAATTTGCAAAGTTATTTTTGGAACTATCAGTTCAAGTCGATTCTTCACATGGAGACACTGTGAACCCAAAGTCCGTTTATGCCACAGGTTTCAAGAGGAGAGGTAACATCTAATCCATTAAGTGGGGAAGCTCAGAGACTTTGCAGCAATGTTGGGAAGCTTTGTATTGGGTTTTAAAAAGGGACGCCTCTCCTTACTTTTGGGGGACACTGGGCAAACGGATCAACCTCTGGGATTTATGCAACTAGAAATGGATCTTCTCTGGATCAATGCCCCTGCTTTCTTCTCGCTCCTCCTTCTCCTTCAATGCAGCAGACCTTTAGCCCTAATTCTTTCATCTCCCATCCCTCTACCTTCCTCCCTTCTAGGTGCAGTGGCGGAGAATTTAGAGGCTTAACAGCTCCCCGTCTTAATATTCATCATTGTGAAATCATGATGGTCTCTGATCTCTGAGCCCTGGTCTCATCCCCAGATCATGACAGATTTCTCTCTCTGGATATTCTGTGCAGGTTGGGGACCTGTTTGGTCCACTTCTCTGAGCTTCTGGTCTCTCCAATCCTCCTCCTGTCCCCATCCCTCCCCGCCCCGCCTCCAGTTCATTTCTGAGCCCTGTGCTCTCTCAACTGTTATTTTCCCCAGTGTCTACAGCTCAGGGAGAAAAAGAATTATTCCACCAGCTTCAACTCAGCGACCTTCATCCGAACACAGTTGACCCCAGGACCCAGACCTCCATCAGTGTGTGGTTTTAAGCATCCCACACTCATGCTCCACTGCTGAGTACCAGCACCCCAAAAATGGGATCCCGCTGAGCAGGGTTAAGAGAAAATGGCTGTGCATTTGGGGCAAAATGCCTTGATGCTAGTGACATTTAAACTCCCGCAGATGTCACTGCAGCATCTAAAGACGTATTATTGTGCCCTTTATCTCACTCTTTCAACCTGACAGCGCCCAGTAGGAAGCCACACAATTGAGGGGAAAGCTCAGTACATACATCAGAAATGTGGAGCAGACACTCCACAGGCTCGGTGACATTGTCCCAGAAGGTTGGTAAGGAAAATAAAAGTTTATAAAATTCTAAAAATCAGCTTAGGAGCTAGAAACTTGGAAACTGACATTTCTCGTCCACGGTCATAACTGCAATGGCCCCGCTCACGGCTGACCCCGAGAAACAACAGTGGCTGAAAGAATTTTCAAATAACACAAAAATGTTAAATGGGCTATAAAATATAGACAAGAGGTTTCAGCTTGTGAGAGAAAATAATTTCCTCTGAGTATTACGCCTATCAGTATCGGTCACTGTTTTGGAAGCTGCGAGGCATGCATCTAAAACCCTAACTTCAGCTTAAGTCAATCAAGAATACAATTACAAAGTGGGCACTGACCACCCCCTGGAACTTTTGGAATACTTATTGATAAACACTGACCACATGATCACAGCAACAATGTTTTGGAGGACAGAAGTGGAGAATTAAAAAGCCTGACATGAAGAGGATGCGCGTTTCTTGATCTAGTTAAATTTTTCAGAATCTGAGTGAAGTTATAAATGCATTAACATTGAGGCCGGAGTTTGGAGGACAAGAGCTGGCAGTCCAGTGGACAGTCTGAGGGCCACCAGCAGGCTGCATGACGCGTGATCCCGTGAGCAGCTCCTGGGATGCATGCACGGTCAGTACCTTGGAAGGCGGGACTCAATTCTCCCCCGATTCACACGGCCTGAGCGAGCACCAGTAGCTTAGGCCACAGTGGGGATGCGCCATTTGTGATGCCTCTAGCTTCCGGTCCAACCCATCATGTGGGCCCTGTTGGCTTTACCTCCTGCATGTGTCTTTAATCAGTCCACCTCTGTCCATCTCTCTGCTTTATGTTTCTTCACAGCATGGCTGACCATCTGCTGTGGGCTGACTTGTGTACCCTCCAAATTCACCTGTTGAAGCCTTAATGCTCAATACTTCATCCTGGGACTGCATTTGATGATCGAGTCTCAAAATAACTGATTAAATCAAAATGAGCTGTTGTTATTGTTGTTGTTGTTGTTGTTGTTGTTGCTTTAAATGTGGGCCCTTATCCAACCTGACTGGTGCCCTCATCAGGAAAGGAAATCTGCACTCACAGACACACATGTGGGGACAAGGTGAGAAAGGGGCCGTCCACAAGCAAAGGAGAGAACTCATGGGAGCCCACGGAGAAACCAAGCCCGCCAACCTCATCCTGGACTTCTGGCCTCCAGAACCACAAGCACGTGCTCTCTGTGTAAGTCCCCCAGACTGTGGTAAGGATTTTGCTGTGGCAGCCTCAGCACACTCATACAGTCCCCCATCTGTTACAGATCATATAATGTCCTGATTGTTTGTTGAATTTCCAGTCTCTTTCACTCAAGGGAAGCCCACAAGAGCGGAGAATGAATCTGCCTTCCCCCATAAACTCAGACTAGTGTCGGGCAGAGAGTTCCTGCCCAGTAAACACTCGTCAAATGGCAAATGGAGGCCTCTCCACTCCCCTGGCCCAGGCCGCCGTGATCTATCTCTTGCATGACGCCAGCACTTTCTAATACATTTCCTGACTTATTCTCTATTCCCCAGTGGTGCCCCCTGCACTTAGACTGGAATCGAAACTGCTCATGACGACTCTGGGCTCGGCCTGCTCAGGCCCAGCTTCACTCCCCCGCATTCGCTCAGACCACTGTCCCTGCGCTCGCGACGCCCAGGGCACTCACCCCGTCGAGCTGCCTCCCACAGCAAGGCCTCTGCACTTACACTCTCCTCTGCCTGGAAGGCCCCCCGCCCCCCCGCAGATCGTTACACAGTGAACTCCCTCTTATGACTCGGGGCTCAGTTCACAGCACACCTTTGGAAGCACGGCCACTGGGTGCGTTATCTAAGGAGCCCACCCATATCCCAGTCACTCACGTTTATTACAGTCATTGCACTTATCACAATCTGAAACCACATTAGTGGCTCGTTTAATGCTATTTAGTGTCTTTCCTCCCTCTGCTCAGCGCGCACCGTGGAAACGAGGACCGAACCTGTCTTGATTACTTAAGTATCCCCTGTGTCCAGCAGGAGTTCTTGATCCACAGCTAATGCCCAACATTTTACTTGTTGAAAGAAAGGAGGGGCAGACGCCTGGCCTGGACTTGGGCTGAGCAAGGGTCTGTGGGAAGGGGCCTTTGCTAGGCCCCGCCCGACTCCACGTGACTCACGAGCAGGGGCCAGGCCTCTGAGTGCCGTACGCACCGCCAGTACCTGTCCACACAGTTAAATGGAATTTGTCCAATTCCAGCCCCTGTCACAGGGCCCTTACGGTTTGATTTCTGGGAAGTTTAAGTTTCGGCTGCCTAAGCATCAAGGTTGAACTCGGCTGGAGCACATTATGCAGGAACACAGCCAGGGTCACGTCTTCCTGAGTTATAACCCATGGCCCATTGGCTGGGTAACTGGCTCTAGCAATTCCATAACCATGCAATACACACTCCTCAGCAGGAGGACTACGAGGCTGTCGGGAGAATCCTAAATTCAGGAGCAGCCCCAGCAAGAGGAGGGATCCAAGAGGAGCCATGAGACTCTGGGGCCGGAATGGCATCCACCTGCCCTCCAGGGGACCCTCCCCCACGGAGACTTCTCAAAGCGAAGGAAGCATCCGGCTGCAGCGGGAAGTTGTGAGCCGTGCTTGGAGTCAAGCAGAGCTTTGCCAGTCTGACCTTGGAGGTGGCTGAGGCTGAGACAAGAGACAGGTGTACGGTTGGGCCTCGTGGTGGAGGCAAAACAGCTCATCAGAACACAGAGTTCTGGGTCCTGGGAGAGGGAGCCAGGCCAGATTCTCCCGGGGAGAGGCAAACATCAGCTTCTAGAAAGAGCAAGGGCGAGCATCGGGCACAGGGAGAGAAGGACGAGTACAGCTGGATGCACCCGATAGAGCCCTCTCTGAGGGTGGGGCAGTGCGGGGCTCAGTGAGCTGACGTGGACGACAGGGAGAGCGGATATCTCCCGGTGCAGCTGCCCAGACGGAGGTCAAAGCTCATACTCCAAGGGGCAGCTGACGCTGATTCCCAGGGATCGAGGGAGGGGACGACTAATCCTGGCAAAGGGGATTCATCTGAATATCCGCTATATAATCCCTGCATAGTGGGGCAGGCGGGTTTCTGGGACCCTTTTCACATGAAGGTCTGGTTCAGCAGAGACATTTGCCAGACATGACTGAATGGCCAGACCCATCAGAGAAAGTTCCAAAGACTCAGGAAGTAGGGACGAGGGGAGGAGGGACCGTAAGCCAGAGAGAGCAGTGGAGAGAGTGGCTGGATCTCCGCGTTCCTGACAGGCAGGCTGTTTCTGGGAAGGAGGGGTCTCCTGCACAGCAGCCCATGCTGCTATCTCAAATTCTGTCTCACCCAAGCCCCCTGGAACTTGTCCCAGTTTCCTCCAGAAAGGTGCTCTAAGACGATGAGTCCAACGGTGGCCGTCTAGCGATGTTCAAGACTCTGACAAATGTGCTGCAGCAGAAATAGGAAGAATCCTATCAACTGAAGCAGCATGGATGGCGCTGAAATGAGAACAGCCCCAAAGTGGAAGGGCAGAAAGGCACAGAGGGACAGGGCCATGGCGCCTCTTGAGGGGAGAGCAAATTGCACCATAGCCAATAGCATGCGTGACTCACAGCTAGAAGGAGGGAGTATAAGGAGCCCTACTAAGAGCTTCCTGGAAGCAGATGGCTGCTGAGGAACGGATGAGAATCCCCCATAGGGAGAACACTAACGAACTAACGGGGCTGGCATCGCAACAAGCCCTCCGAGGGGCCACCACAATCCCCACGCACATCCCTTTGATTACAGCCCTTCCTCCCATCAAATGTGATGTCATCTCAACTCCCTACACCCAGGGCTTGTCCCCGCTGAGATGTACTGAATCCAGGAACCACAGCTCCCTGCTCAAACACACTCACACGTCTTACAATAAATGCAGCAAAGAGAGAGAAGTTCAAGGGGAAACTTGATGGGCACGGAGGAGTGGTTTGCCCTTGAGGACTCTTGACACTGTACCATAAGCACTAAACACTGCGAGAAATCTTTCTCGACGCCTACACAGAGCTGATGAGTGTATTTAAAATTACTTTTAAAAAATTAATAGCTTTGGGGTACTTTTCCCAGTGAGTGAACAGTGTGCTAATTTGCTCCGTGTTTTGGTGGTATTCTTTTTTTAAGACAATTGCACACAATTCTATCCAAAGCCCTCTAATTCTTCCACTTCAGTGGTCTGAATCCCGCTAATAAACAATCAGGACTGTAGACTGCCTTAATAATGGAGAGGGATTCAAACGAAGATGTTTTGCCAGTCTCTGCAAATTCCTGTAGGTGCTGCCTGTTGAACAGGCTGGCGAAATTATGGATTTATTCAGGACTGATTGCATAGAGTACATAAGCACTTTTGAAGAATTAAAAGAAAAAAAAAACCCAGAGGGAGTAAGAGCTGTTTGTGAGCTGAATAAATGGGGGCGGGGGGTGTTGCAGCCTCCAAGCTACCCACCCTGGCACGGAGTAAGGCTGTGCTGGGGGGAGGGGCAGACTTACTGCACGGATGAGCGAGGACCCGGACCTCGTCCACGGCGATGTAGCCAGGATGACCTTTCAAAGAGACGGATTCAAATATCACCTGCAACACACACAGGGCAGGAGTCAGTTTCACGGAGGTGGGCGTAGGCGCTGGTCATAGGAACCCTCCCGGCCCCAGACCCCTCTATGATTCTGCTCCCCATCCGAACCACATGAAGAGGCCTTGTATTGGGCTAGGATGCCATCCTGGCAACTGACTTAGATTTTCAAACCAAGGTAGAAAGGCCACACTCTGGAGACTAGGAAAAGAAGAGTCAGCCACATGGAACATTTTTAATGGGTTTCAGAAGTAACGCTTGGATGCAGGGAAACAACCAAAATATGGCCTGGAGACCCCAATCTGCAGCTTTCTGTTTGTTATTGTCATACCCCAACTTCTTATGAACGGAGGGGGAGCAGCTTACCTTGGAAGCTGCTTAAGAAAAGGAGGGCTTATCCTGATTTGATTCTGTTTCCCCAAGGAACACAGTCCATGTGACTTTGTTAACAACACCTTTCAAAACTAAGCCCCATGCACAACTGCCGGTATCCGGGAATCCAAGGGCAACAATTGTTTCTTTAATTCTCCGTTCTGACTGCCACCCAAACTGCTTATTTCAATACAGATTTTGTGGCTCAGTTACAGCTTTCTCTGTCATCCAGCCTCTCCCTTCATCTAGGAGCTGTGGACACCTGTGTGGACAACCCGACCAGCTTCTGACCTCCCTAATTCCAATGGCCTTATCTTCCACTCAGCATGAGCCACAGGCTGGGGCTTGTCCTCCACTCCCGAAACTGGAAATTCCAACTTGCTGTATTTTGGCACAGATGCCCACCCCATACCCCTCTCCCAACTCACTCCTTCAAACCTTCTCTTCGGGCTCACATAGTGCGCGGAACCTCAACTTTTCTAGAGACCATAGGCCTGCCTAGACTCCCTCTATTCTCAACAAGCCTGGGGTATGCCCCCCCCATTGGATAATCACCGATGCCATTCTCACCTGGAGCCCCGATCCCTTAGCACCCTCACCGCAACTTCGACGAGCCTATCACGTTACTGCCTTCTCCACTCCCGTCCCCCCCCCACACATGTTCCCCTGTCAACGTCACCCCGGCAATGCCAGCAGATACCCACATCGCAGATTCTAGAGGCAAGGGGACAAGAGAGGGGCTGACTTCTAACTTCCTACCCATCAACCTCATCAACAGGGTTTGTTTTAGATTCCATACAGGTCAGGGTCCTAAACACCGCCCACTGCCTTCTCTCTGCTGATGTGCTTGACCCCTTCCTCAGCTGCATTTTCCAGCATCTTGCTTCTCCTTGGCTGTCTCTTCTAATCCTGCATCGCCGAGCCCTTCCTTTTATTCTTGACCTTGACCTACGTAAATGCTTGGGCTTCTCTTACACTTTAAATGCTACGCTCTGACAGCAAGTTCTTCTCTGGTTGAATCCGGCTGTGTAACAATCATATCTAAAATCCCCACTAGTTCCATCTGCACTGACTCTCAACACTTCCTTACTCCCCACTGTCAAACTTCAACCCACTGTAATCTGGACTCGGTCCCCAATGCCCCCCAAAACTGCTCTCCTGGCAGAGGCCAATAACCTCTTAATTGCTAAATCCAACAGGCATATCTCAACCTTTGTCTTACTTTAAGAAGGAAGACGGAGTGCTTCTCAGACTCCGGGCCAGGTTGCCTGGGTTCCAGTCCTGGCTGCACCAGTTATCAACGTGTGACCTTGGACAAGTTACCTTCCTGCTCTGTGCCTCGGTCCCCTCCTCTGTAATTACAGCGTCTGCCTCGCGGGGTAAGTTTCCAGATGAAAGGAGTTAATACACTGCTTAGAGCAAGGTGCTCCACGTGGTAGGTTCTCAGTAAATGTTTGCTATACTTATTAATACTTGACCCTTTGTCTACAGTTGTCAATGATCATAGTTTCTCCCTTTCTGGGTTTGCTTCTGTTTAGGCTCTGGTGACGCTCCACTCTCTTCATTTTTCTCATAAACCTGAGACCATTCTACCACAGGTCTCTTTTAAGCACTTCTCCTACATCCAACCTTCAAGTTTGGGCCTCCTCTACCCATTTTTTTCTCTTCTTTTTCTTTCTTCCTTTTTTTTTTTTTAACTGCACACACTTTCTCCAATAGCTGCAAATCGTTGATAATCCCCATGCCCAGCTCTCCACACCAGACTTTTTAAAAACCTAAACATCTGTCTCACTCATCCAGCTCACAGACTTGTATTTCCACCTCAGTAGCCCATAAATCCTCCGACTCAAACTTCAACGCATCTGAACGGCCTTCCTTTCAAACTCTCTCCTCGTTGCCTGGGGCACCGTCCTTCCTGAACTACGGACCTCGGCGGCTTGCACTGTGACCTGCCACGTCACGGGAGTTCGGGATTTGGGAACCTGCCTGGGCTTCTCCTCCAGCCCTTCGCCTCACATCCATCTTCTCTTCTGACTCTGTCTTCTCTGTGTTGTTCACGTCTTCCCACGCCCTTCCATCCCTGCTACTAAGAGGGACCATGTGGAGCAACTGTTTCACAGGCCACACCACTGGGACATCCGTGTCATTGCTCCGGATCAAATCTTCGCTGCGCTTCATCTCTAGCACCTCCCCAGCCTACAGAACGGACCCTCCCCTTCCTGTCTTTTACTCCTCAGTTCAAGCCCATAGGTGGCATGTACGGTGGGTGATGAGACCAACAGGAAAACCTCCTCCATGTGGAACGTTTTGTGGGCCACGTGGTCACTCCGGGTTCATGGATTGGGAGGTCAGTGGTCCCCGTGGAGCCCAGAGTCCAACCGCCGTAACCAGTGAGCAGGGAATGGGGGAGAGGGGGATGATGGCGGTGAAGAGGCAGCTTTCTCTCAGCCAACATATGTAAAGTGACTTGGGAATGACAGTCACGGCAAACATAAAGCAGCTGGTGCCAGCATGACACCCTCTCTGGAAGAGCTAGCAGGGCCCTTCGGAGAGCGCTAACGCAGAACATTGCGCTGGAAGCCGGTGGGGCGGGGGGGGAGTGTGCGGACATAAAAGTGGAAGAGCTGCCCGCAGAGGAGGAAGGCAGCAGAAGGCCCTTCTACTGACAACCGTGTATCTGGTAACGCCTTTAATAATTCAAAGCAAACCAAAATCAAAGTCCAAAGGGAAAGTAATAAAAGAGCAAACACAGAAAATACATGTATAAAGAAATAGTACAAAAGCATTCAAATTGTGTAATACAAACATGACAAAAGTTAACAGAAGGTATGTGCGACAATAAATATAAATAGGTTAAAATAGAGAAAAAGCTCTCAGGCTGTCTAAGTAGATGAAAGCTAATTGTATGCCCTGAGATAAACACCTCAACAGAATGACTCAGGAACCTCAAGAATAACAAGTTGAACAAAGGAAAATAATAGGGAAATACAAATAAATAGAAAATAGCTGTTGCAAAAATAATGTAAAGGCATCGAAGGAGAATTTATAGTACAAGAAAAATAAAAACCATTAAGTGGACTGAAATGGCCATTTGAAAGACTTCGTGAGCCAATAGACTTAGAAGAAAATAATGAAGAAAATAAATAGTAGTTATATTTTAAATAAAACCCATTTATATTTATTTAGCCTATGTTTTAGATTCTGGCCAACCAAACAGAGAAAAAATGCATCTGTCAAGTATGCATATAACAGTGCATTTACTAAACAAATGTTAGTGAATATAGAGAATGAAATTTCTGGTCAAATGCTCATGGGTTATTTGCACAAAGATCAAATAACAGGCCACAGTGTAACTTCAATCAATCATACAGGATTGAAGAAGAAACCGTATAGGTTTAGGTCTGTACACTTTCTAACTAAATTCACTACAGCTAGAAATTAACGATAAAGGCTTAAAAATCAATTTCATAAAATTGAACTATTATACATTTCTTAAATATACCTTCTTGGCCCTGGCTGGCGTAGCTCTGTGGATTGAGCGTGGGCTGCGAACCAAAGTGTCGCAAGTTCGATTCCCAGTCAGGGCCCATGTCTAGGTTGCAGGCCACAGCCCCCAGCAACCGCACATTGATGTTTCTCTCTCTCTCTCTCCCTCCTTCCCTCTCTAAAAATAAATAAATAAAAAATAAAAATAAATAAAAAATATATACCTTCTTAATAACTATGATGTCAAAGTATGTGTTGTATGTTAACAAAGTCTGAAACAAAATTGAAAGTTAAATGGCAAGCTGAAAAAAGTATCTGTCATATATGTGCCAGCAAAAAGGTTAACAACCTGTTTTGTGTAAAGAATTCTTGAGATTCAACAGGATAAGCAAACTCTCCAAAGGAAAAATTGGCAAGTGACCTCAGGAGGCAATTAACAAAAGATAAAGTCACCATGACAATCACCCATGAATGCAAAACTCTTTTAATGGCATGGGGTCTCACGAAGACATACTAAGGAGCCTGAATTTTCTTCTGAGCCACTGAAAGACTTGAAGCGGGGAAGTGACATAGTCTAATTTACATTCCAAAAGGATCGTCCTGACCAATCGGTGGAAAATGACTGGCAGGGAGGTGGGCAGCCGGGAAAGAATGAAACAAATAGACCTATCACTGGGCTATTGTAGTCACCCAATCACAGGAGGGGGATGGCTCTGATGGCTGGTGGCTAGGGAGAATAACGGCTGATGGTTTGAGAGAGATTTCGCAGGCAGAGACGAAAAAATTGCCGTCAGATAAATAGCAGGGGAGTGAGGGAAAGACGCAGCCAGTACTCTTCAGTTTGGAGCTGGAGCTCCTAGGCTAATTCTGGTGTCATTTACCAACACGAGAACAAGGACACAAGGGACATGTGTGCACTGGCACACAGGCAGGGGCTACGTCAGGGTTTCCTGCTGGCCATGTTAAGTCGCGATGGCAATTAAGTGTCCTAATGGATATGCTGAGCAGGAGGCTGGCATTACATTTCTGAAGCTCATGGGTAACTTAGGAACCGGAGTTACAAATAGGGTTGCTTCGGCATCTGAATGTCATGTAAAGTTATTGAACTAGACGAGGTCACCTTGAAAGACGGAGTAGGTAGCTCAGAGAGGAGGGCTAGGGCCAAGGCCAAGGCCTAAAAGCCCAATAGAGAATTTATTTTTTAGGATGGTAGAGGTTGGAACATGATTTTGGGTCCAGGGAAAGGAATCGGGGAAGTAGCACAGACTAGAAGGGAGTGAGGAGCAGATAAAACAAGATTCTAGAAGGAGCAGGATTCAAATTGGGTCAGAATACCAGCGGAGGAATTGGTATTGACCAGAAAGGGCACTTCATCGACTACAACTGACTGATAATAAAAACAATAAAATCAGGGAGTATAACCACAATAATAAAGGTCTACAACACTATGACATGGCCTTGATCCAGCCTCTCAACAGCCCTAGGAAGTGGGACCAGCTGAACTACAAAACTCAGAGAGGGAGCCGGAGGTGTCAGGACAGAGGTTCCAGTCTCCCGGTTCACGGCCCACGGCCACGCTCGTCCCTGAACTTCGGTGAAAGGCTTCACGACTCTCTTTAACCAGGCCACCGGGTGAAGCAGAACTCTGACTTTTATTCCAGTGCATCCCAGTGGGGCTTAATTAAATTCTTCTAACACTCTGTTTCTTCTGTTATCACCCAGCATTTAACCTATCCCGTAATCATTAATAAATATTCCATGAATGAGCACGAGGCCTGTCACGGGAGAACGGGTGCGTGACGGTGCAACGTACACCGGCCCGCCGCTCCCTCGCCTTCCCTTTGCAAGAATAAGGATTCCGGAGTGACACGGAGGATCTTTTATTCATCAGAATTCCTCTCGGGAATGTTTCTGTCAAGCACTGGGGTAGATAAGATTCAGGTTTCTCAAATGTGGGAGAATGCTATTCTGTAAGAAACAAAGGAGAGAAAGTCCTGGTTTTCCATTAAATGAGTTCATAATTCTAAAGCACTTACAATGCCCACGGTAAGATACTGATAAGCATTACTAACACTATTCCTCTGGCTCTGGAGACAGGAATGGAAATGAGGGGGGAAAACGGTGGTAGATCCCGGGAGAGGGAGAGGGAAGGACTGTCCAGGTGACCCTCCCGGGGACTCCCACCCACACTCCCACTGAAGTTCCTACACTCTGCAGACACTCTGATGTGTGTCGTGACTGGTGGCAACTGGCAGAGGCCGGGCTTTGGGTCCCCAGGGAGGCCTATTCATGATAAAGAGGCACCTGTGGTCACAGGAGCCAAGGCGGCTGGGGAAGGTAGGGGGAGAAGGTACAGAAAAGTGTGGAGAACAAGACCACGACAGCCCGCAAAGTCCTTAATGAAGGCTCCACACTCACGAGACGTTAGAAGTAGCATTGAAGGTATGTTAACACGGACAGGCAGGCCCTGAATGGGACGGAGAACAAAGCCCCTCGCAGAACAGACCTGGGGAGCCTCTCCCCAGCCCCGCCAGATGGCTCAGAGTAGAACACTCACAACATCTGCCAAAGCTGGGAGGGGCCAGTCCTTGGCATGCCACTCCAGAATTAGATTTTTCCCAAAAAGTCATGCCAGCTGCCCTGAGTGGGACTCCCCAGGGCCCGGGGAGCGGAGGGTCAACCGTGCAGATACGAGACCGGGTGTCTCAGAGCCAGCCCCAGGAGCGTACCGCACTTCCTGGAGAGAAAGGCAAGGAAGGAAGGTCCACACTGGATGGGCTTGGACCCCCAAGGGCTCGCCTGGACTCAGCTGCTGAGGCAGGTGCCCTGAACTCTGAACTCCTGCAACGGGGCTAGCACGCAGGCCTGCACCCAAGTTCCTGGGCCAGCAGCCAGCAGCCTGTTCTCAGAAACAAGGGCTCGCCCTGGGGGGCACAATCCAGGAATGGAGAGGGAGACCTCCAATGGTGGCCAGAAGGTGCTACTAAATTTTACAGGACGGCAGGCCTCAGCCACGGGGAAACAATGGGTACTTGCAGAAATTGGCAGGGTCACCCTTTGAAAATCACACGTAGCCCCAAAGCTCCAAATATTGCCTTAGCCACATGGAGTACTTAACAGTTCTGAATAGGAATCTAGGGTTCATGGTCAAGTTTCTGACCGTGCAACAAGACCTCCAAATGTGAGCTAGGCCTTGAGAGCTTTTGTGAGAGGCCACGGGGCAGAGTGCTATGGAAGACAATCGGAGGAATCAGGTTTGGCTGTAACAAGGCGCTGCAGGCGTGGCTCACACAGAGGCAGCATTGCCAGGGATGTGCGGACATCGGGAGAGATGTGAGGTCCCCCAGGGTTCTTCTCGCTGTTGATGACACAGAAGGGAGACCACCCAAACAAACAGGAGCAGCAGCAGAGAGCTTCTTCTAGTATGTCCAAGCAAAGCAGTTGAAAAGCTGCCACTCAACCCCTGGGCCAGGTTCCTGGCCAACAAACATCCGGGGCATGTGGATCATCAGAGTCAGAGAACACCTGAGACCGTGGATGGAGATGATCACCCCATCAATGTGCTTCTGGTATGGGGACCCTGGTCAGAAAGACCCCATCCAGTACCTGGCCGGGTCCATTTCCTGGGGACAGATAGCATAAGGGGACAAGGGGATGCCAGGGCCCTCTAGAAACTCAAAACAAGGCCCTGGAGGAATGGAAGCCAGGAGTCGGGAAGGAGTCAGAAGAGAAGTAAAAGACAGTGCTGTCTGTTTACAAGGAGCAGGGAGGGCAGGATGGAGGGGGTGAGGCCGAAGTGGGCCTTGCCAACACCCAGTGATGCTCCATGCCAGTGCATGGGGGCGGGGACCCTGGGGGGCAGGGACCAGAGCAGAAGGCCTAGGCTGGGAACCCCAGCTTCTCTGCAGGACATTCTCCAACCCCCAGGCTGCCATGCGGACCTACTGCCGACTGCACACGCCCCAGGCCCTGGATCCTCAGGGACATCCTGGTGGGGGTGTGGGGGATAGAGCTTCCCCGGAAAGACGCAAACCTCTCCCTGGGCATGAGTTGCTGGGCCAAGCCAGGAAGTGACTCCCCAAGAGAGGCTCAGAGATCAGCCTCCAACAGGCAGGAGCAGGTTGTACGCGTGTTTGGGGGAGGGTCTGATATGTCAGCACTTAGTTTAAGAGACCTGGCGTTTTAGCCTCACTCTTTGGAGTCCTCCAGCAGAGAATCAGGACTACAAAAATTTCAGGGGGCTGCAAACATTTTCTCCAAAGGTGAGAGAGAAAAAACCGTTGCCTCACTGGGACTCCTCCAAGGACGGGGCCCATGTGCATTTTCGTGGGGAAGGATTGCTCAGGCCGAAATCAGGAGGCCTGCCCAGGCAAGGAGGAGGGTTTGCTGCTTAGTGGAGAGGGGGAGGCCAATGAGAGAGGAGATGGGGTGGAGTCCCGAGCAGGCAGAGGGGCCCGGGCCTGCGCCCTCCTGAACTGTGCATGGAGTTACCAGCCCTCCAGAGTGCCGGGCGCCAGGGAAGCCCTGAGCAAGGGCTGTGAGTCCAAGCGAATTCGAGTCGGGTGGGTCCAAAACGTCAGGGGTCTACAGAGCAATCCCAAGTGCCAGGTGAAAGGTGATTTCGCCGGGGCAGGGGACGGAGAACAGAGTGAGCCAGTGGCTGCAAAAGGAATGAAGAGTTCTATGATTTTTTTTAAAAATCTTGAGATGGAAAAGTTCAGCATCATTAAAAACATGACACAGAATTAGTATCACCTGGAATGGGCAGGGGCCTGAGGCGGGGCTCCAGCGGCAGCTGAGCAGCCCGCTCACCTGAGCGAGGGTAGGCGGGGGAGGGGGGCGGGGGGGGGCAGGAGGACACTTCCCTCCCTGGCCCCGCTGAGCCTGGTGTCAGAAAGTCACTCATGAGAAAGAGAAAGCTCCCCTATTTATTATGGAGCCAATTTTAGGGCCGTGAAATATGACTTTAATAAATAAATACAGAAGCCATTAGTACATGAAGGCCAGCACTGCTGAAAACTAAAATTGTGTTTCGTCCACAGAATCGCACAAGAAGGCCAGCGCTTGGGGTCTGGGGAGATTTAAGATCCCTCTCTCAAGGGTCTTTGAATCTCCTGATGGGGCCCGTCTTCTCTGCCCCTGACCTACGTGCATGTGGGTGTCCCTGGGTATGTGGTGAGGCTCGGAGCATGCACACGTGTGAGCCCCTGTGTGTGTGTGTGCGCGCGTGTGCACACCATTTAATTGCTGTAGCCTGGCAGCCAAAGCCCCCCACGCCCCACCCACCCCTGCAGGCTTCATTCACTGTGTGTCTACTTTGCAGCCTACCCTTCACTGACCTGAGTTTCCAGGCTCTGCCAAAATCTCCCCCTCACGCCTCCAGCCCACAGCCGGCCCGACCCCTGACAACTCCAGCGCCTTGCCCTTCCTTTTTCAGGAACTCGTTCTTCACCCTTCCAGACTCAGCCCAGCTGTCTCCTCCTCGTGGAAGCCATCCTCACTGCCTTCGCCCCAAACACCCTCGTGTCCAGGGGGGACATTTGACTAGTTAGCTCCTCTCTCTGAACCTCCGCTTTTTCGCCTGGAACACGGGATTGTCGCAGCGTCTTCCTCATCACACAACAGTCTCTGCCTCATCAGTTATTTCACAAAAGGCTTCAATGCCTGTGTCCCTCCAGCATCCGAGGAGCCCGGCCCCCGACTCTGTTATTATTTGCGCACCAGGCTCCTCTTCCCGACCATGAGCTCCAGGGAGGCGGGGCCTGGCTGGAAGGAGAGGCTCCGTCAACAGGAGTCAAACAAGCACATAAACAAAGTCCTTTTGCAACTTAACCCTCGGCAGGCAAGAGGGATCTACTAGGTTAATGATGACTTTTTTAAAAAGTCCAACCATGGCCCGAACACCATACCTGGTAGAAGTGTGGCCAGAAGGTGCTGATGGCCAGCTCTGCCTTCACCCAGCCCTCGGTGACGACGCCGGACACGTTCCAGACGGGGTTCCCCTGGGGCCCGCCGTTCACCTTCACGTAGACGTTCAAGGCCCCCGGGCTGGACCTGTCGCGGCTGGAGAAGTAGTAGTGGAAGTCGATGCAGTGCGTGTCGTTCTCCTTGAGGGTGGGCAGGAGGAGGTGGGCCTTCTGGCCGGAGGCCCTCCCGGAGCTGTTCACCATCATGAAGGACCCTGGAGACCCACAGAGGGGGCGGGGAGTGGGCGAGGAGAGAGAAAGAAAAATCCTCCTGAAAACCAGTCACTCCCATCCACACGGCGGCCGGAAACCGGGTCACGCTGGGAGGGCCTGCTGGGTGAGCCCGAGGAAGCCACATCCCCTCTCTCAACCTGCGTGTCCTCCTCTGTAATTGCGGATAAAAACCCTACTCAACAGGGTGGTTGTAAGAACAGTGAGAGAGTAATACATACAACGTGTTTCTACAAAGTAGACACATTACAAACATTTACAGAAGAGACATTATATCCAGCGGCTCCTGAAGGAAGCATGGAATAGAAACCCAGGAATTTGGTTAATGGCAACCTCCATGGGGAAAACGAGGTGAAATACAACCTCATGCGAGCCTGGGCTGTCTCGGGGGAAACAAAACCTCGACAACACGAGAGGTGGCGTTATTCCAACATACTCCGCCTAGAGCCCTGCATTCAGTGCACGGAACGTATCACAGGAGGGCATCTATTTAAAAAAAAATTACAATGTATTCAAGTCAGCAAGGAAGAGCCTCAAGAAATGGGAGAACCAACTGGAAGATGGTCAGCCTGGAATGGAGGGTAAGTAACACTAAGCACATGAAGAAGTGCCAGTCGGACGCTAGGTGTCTTATTTATATGTTATTCAATTTAATCTTCAGAATGACCCTGGGAGACTGGGGATTTTCATTTTATTTAAAGACTGAGTGGCTTGCTCTGGGTCACTCAGGCAGAGAGGGATGAGACCCAGATTCTCTCCGGCCTCCAAGTTGATGCTATTATTACCATTCGCCGGACACTCGATTACTCCTTTCCAGCCTTTAAAAGGCTGTTTCCTCGGAAGGACGTGAGCCTCACTGGAGTTGCTCGGACAGGTTAAGGGGTTGTGTCGAGGTCTCCACCCTTCCCTGGATCTGCTTCCTTGGCCTCCGGCTTCATGGGAGAGGCAGAGGGCGTGTCCCCATCCTGCGACTCTGAGCTGCACTTGCTGTGGTTAACGGGATGCTAACAGAACAGCTGGGCCAGAGGCCGGGCTTGCCCTCCTGCTCTGATGTCACCGTTCATGAGACGAATGCACCCCAGGGAGCTGTGGCCCCTTTCCGCTCGGGTTGGAGAACAGACCGATGAGGAGGAGTCCTGAGCAGAACCGAGAGTGAAGAACCGAGCCATCCCACCCACGCAGCGAGCAGCACAGCCACGCGGCCCACAAGCCCAGCCCGGACCAGCAGAACCACACCCGACACTCGGACCGTGAGTGTGAGTCAGTGCTCACCGCTGTGTGGCACTGGGTCCCCTCTCGGCAGGTCAGGCAGCGTCACTGTGGCGACAGCTAAGGGCTGAAGGTGCCTCAGAGGGCACACTTAGAGAAGAAACCACCAGGAGGCACGTTTTGGTGCAAAGGGCCCTCTGACACGTACAGCTGATGCAAAATGGGATGGACCGCCAGAGACAGAGGGAGCTCCCCGTCACGGCAGGTGACACAGAGCCCGGGAATATCTAGACGTCTGAGAAAACTTCACAATCAACTCTGAGGGCTGCACTCTGTGACTTTAAGCCCCATAATTCCATGACATAAACTACACCATAGAACACAGTAGATACACTCAGATGATTCTGCATGAATATGCTCACCACTGTGGCTTTGAAATCTGCCTCCAACCACTGGAATATTCAGTTCAGGATGAAACCTTACAACTACTTGCCCTCAGCCACAAAGAGCCGCTACTGCTAGAAAGCAGCCTCATTCTTTCACCCTGATTCCCAAAATACTAACAGCTGCCAGCTAGTAAGCGCTGGGCAATCCGTATCTTGTTGGGGTTCCAGAGGGTACCAATCATTCATAGCCCATCTCCTGTGGGATCTGAACGAAGTTAAAAATAAAGGAGAGAGGTCAAGTTCAAACCCTCCATTTCATTATTTCCGAAGCCAGATTCGAGAAAGTAACTTGGACTTGAGGCCAAATTAGGCCTCCTGCGTTGTCTCTCATGAAGAGCACGCAGAGCACCGGGAGGATCTCGGACTCCCTCCCTCCAAGTCCCCCCACATCCCCAGCGCCAGTGCTGTCCTCGAGGGCTGACCACAAAGAGCCGTTTCGGGGGGCTCATCCCCAAAGTAAACCAACAAGAAAGGAAACAAGGACAGAGCCTTGAACCCATGGCTATCAGACTTTGCCCACCCACCTCCCGGGGTCGGAGCCACTGAAAGTGAGCCAAGGCGGCATCTTCCCCCGTGTTTCCGGGAGAGTCACATTTCCTAGTTTACGGCTTGGAAGTAGAACAGGGTGAGTGGAGAGGTGACCCTTGTCAGATGCTGCCACTCATCATCAGAACCTCCAGTGAGGCAGCAAGACAGGGGCCACCGCAGGGGGTAAACTGAGGCTAGCATCCATGCCCATAGCTGTCTGCTGACCTACACCCCACAGGGTTGCAGGGGTCTCCCTGGGAAGAAGGGGTGACGACCCACAAGCCCCACGAAGGTGGGATGGCTGCCCCTGCCACGGAGAAGCGGCACGCCCACGGGTCGGGAAGGCAGCCTGCGAGGCCAAGGGCATCTGGCTCTCTCCTCTGGAATCCCATGATGCCCCGTGGACAACTCCGCCCCCGTCCTCCTGCGGATTCACACCGAGCTCTGTCCTAGGGGCCTCAGCGAAGAGGTGAGCAGGGGTCCCTTCCACCGGCCCAGGTTCCCACTTCTTCCATCCCAGCCCCAGTGGTGGGGCAGGCCACTGAGCGATGTGAAATCCATCCACTCCCCTCTTGCTGCCCCACGGTTGCTGGTAGAAGGCTCAGCGTTTCCCCGGAGGTGGGGCTGGTGGAAGGGGTTGGCCCTCCATGGACTCCCCATGTAGCCGACGTTACCTACTGATGTCCAAACCTGTCCCCTCCATTCCGGGTACATAGCTGGACCACATTCCCCAGCCCCCCTTCATAGAGAGTTGGGCTGTGCACTGGGGTCTAGCCTGTTGGGCCTGCATATGAAACGTGCCACTTTCAGGCCTAGTCCCCAAAAGCTGCCTCCCTCTCCCCTCCCGCAAGCCTCCTTGTTCCACCCTCCCTAACCTTGTCTCTCCAAGGATGGTCCTCGGAGTGGCAGCCTCAGCAACACCTGGAGCTTGTAAGAAAAGCACAACCTGGACTATGGATTCCAAATCTGCATTTCCCAAGACCCTCAGCTGGTTTGTACAGCAGGAAGCACATGAAAGCGTGAGCATCACTGCTCCATTGTTCTTTCCCACCCGCCAGCTGCGAGCGCAGGATGGCGAGAGCCTAAGTGACAGCAGAGCTGCAACGACAGGAGCCTTGTGGCCCGAATGGCCGTGACCATGAGAAAGGCCACCCACCTATTAGGAACACTCACTTCAGACCTTTTGTAAACAAGAAATAAACTATTTATGGGGCCATTAAGCCGCTCAAACTCTGTAGTTTATTTCTGCACCTAGCATCCTCATTATTGTGCTGGCACCCCCATAGAGCCCCTACTCCCCGCAAGTCCCTTTATTTAGGGAGACAGGATGAGTAATGAGAGCTACTGAGCAAAGCTGCGAGACGCTCCCAGCAGGAACATGATTAAGAGCAGCATCCCTGGGTGAAAAACAGGGAGAAAGAAGAGAATGGGAAGAATGGGCTGTGGGAACGAATCCTGGAGGAGAAAAGGAACAGCTTGGACCACCCTCAAGACCATTTGTGTCTCAGGGGGAGCCAGAGCTGGGTTGGGTCGGGGTCACATACCATGTTCCCCAACACCACCCTCCTGGCCCGTGATGTAAATTTGTGCGACATGTCATGCATGCATTGGCCCTCAGACCAGACAGAAACGTATGTGTCTTGGTGCTAGTCTCAGAGAGACGGCCCAGATAATTAACAACAAAAAAAAAAAGACAAAGAAAGATAAAAGAAAATGATGGTTGCCCACCCAGTCTATCCCCAAAGGGGAAAAGGGTGCAGGCCAGAGGGTCACAGTGTCCTGCTCGTGGATGTCTTGGGGACACGGGATTTAGACCCTGGGTCAGTGTCCTGTGGCTCCTATAACAAATTACCACAAGCTTGGTGGCTTCATACAACACAGTGTCTTCTCTCGCGGTTCTGGGGGTCGGAAGTCCAAAGTCACGGTGTCGGGAAGGCTGCCCTCCTCCCGGAGGCTTCGGGAGACCATCCACCTCCCTGCCTGTCTGCTTGCGGTGGCTGTTTGCATTCCTTGGCCCTCGGCCCCTCCCTCCATCTCCACAGGGCACGGCTCTAACCCTGATTTCCTTCGGCACACTCCTTTTTCTGACTTTGACCTTCCGGCCTCCCCCTTAGAAGGATCCTATGCATTGCGTCCACCCAGGCAATCCAGCAAAATCTCCCCACTGCAAGATCCTTAATCCAATCCCATCTGCAAAGTCCCTTCTGCCGTGTAAGGTGACATATGCGCAGGCCCCACGGACATCTTTGGAGGACCATGATTCTGTCAACACAGGTATTTGTGTTCGTATGCCCACAGGTGTCCCCAGCTAGTGAACCAGAGACAAAGGGACAGCCCATGTGGAAGCCGGCAGGCAGGCACTGTCTGTACAGCAGGGATCCCGGAAGGTCTGAGTGTTCCCACGTGAGTATAGAAGCCTCCTCGTGGTATCAGGTCCTGTCCTCACCAAAGTCTTAGAGGGAGACCATGATATGAAAAGCAAAATGTGGTGTCAGATCATTTCGCTCCCAATCTGGACAGAAAGAAAAGAAGGTTTGGGGGTAGCCCTGGGGTAGGCCCACCTCCCATCGGTGAGAACTCATCAGGGCTGCCGGCCAGCGTAAGCGCCGTGGTCCATGTCCATGGTAGGCTCCTCAGACCCCGCCCACCACGGGTGGCTGCTCTCAGGCCGCCCTCCGAGGTAGCCGGAGTGATGCTCTGGAGTCAGAATTTGCCCTGTGGTTTGACCACTCGCTCTCTGAATTCCCTTCCTGTGTGGGGGGAATCTCCCTAATTTTTTAAGCGGGGCCCATTTTCCTCTA